AATGGTTCCTGCCAGTACCACTAAGGCATTCACTCATAAAGATGTGGTTTATATGTATACACACACACACACACACAAACGCACGCACTTGGAGCGGGGGATGTTCTTTTAATAGTGTTAGGAAATTCTGCAGATGTCATTACGAACATGTTCATACTGGCTCTGATTCTTGGCAGACTAATCCTTCCGTGCTGTTGAACTGGAAAAAAAAAGACAGCTTTCGTACCACTTACCCTGCCTGCAACTTGCTGACCAAGGAAAAGGAGGCACTAGCAGAAAAAAAGTGGGAATGCCCCAAGATTCTTGCGCCATGCTTTCACAGGTGCAATTTCTGCCTTGGGGTCTTTTTGCCAGTGACCTGAGTCAGTTTCATTCAAGGTCAGCTGTGTGTTGAGCAGGCTGGTTTTGCCCAGGAAATGTGCTAGAAAATTGGACTGTGACTAGGTCAATGGCAAGTCTTAGTTGTCAGTGAAAGGCTTTCTCTTTTCTGTAATGGAACACCTGGTTGTTGTTGGGGCTTTTTTTAATTATCTGACATTTTATGCAATATAAGAAAGTAGACAAAGCAAAAGGAGAATATTTCATAATGGTCTGGCATGTGCACTGACAAGCACAAGTGCAGTTATGGACACCTTGCAGCGTTTGTATGAGGGAGTCAGTAGCTATCATTGCATATGGAAGAGCAGAAACAATGCTGTGCCTGGAGGGAGAGGTAGTGCATTTTTAACATCATGGGACAAGCACTGAGTGTTCTTTGCTGCACACCCATTCCATCCCGGTCTATGCCTATGCTATAGTTCACTAATTCTTTTAGTTTTGCTCAAGTTGTACCCATATGGTTTGTAAATGCACCTTTGCTTTTGAGTAATAAATGACACATGGCTTCTTTGGCAGCTCAAGGCTTGACTTTTCATCTTGACACCCTTGGGCATCTGGCAGATGACAGATGATAGATTTAGACAAACAGTAAAAGCTACAGAGTGCCTTGCATGTGTGTTTATCTTAACTTTGTAACATGGTCCAAATGTTATTTAACTTTATGTATTTAAAGGAGGCCAACTGGGAATGGCATTCACATACAGTAGGACAGCTGATGCTGTTGCTCTAATTACTTGTTTGGTATAGTTACTAGCAAGTTTATAATTTCCTGAGCATGACTGGGTCTATTGAATTAAAGCAGGGTGTTTGGAAATAGGGAGAAAGAGGAAACCAAATGGTAGTTTAACAATAGGCAGTAAATGTAAACCAGAAGTTATTTACTTGACACATTATTTTAGTCAGGTTGAATTTAGTTTGGGGGTTTGCTTTTTTTTTTTTTTAAGGCTGCCATTTGCTTTGCGAAATAGCTTCTAGGAACAATATCTTTAGAATGTTTTCTAGGCTGAAGGTGATGCTGTTTTCTGCGAAATGCTGAGTTGTTAAATGTGCAGTATTGCAGTGTGTTGGAGGAATGGGAATTCTTTCTTTGTATGTATTAGAAAATACTCTTTTCCATTAGTCAGTGCACCTGGTATTTATTTTTTTATTGCAATAACAGAGATGTCGATACTTCATATATTTGCAGGAGAAATTAGTTTTGAAGAAATTTTTATTATTATTTGTTTACAAAAAACTTAGCATGGAAAGGTAAATTTGGGTGCAAATGGCTGTTATGTTTCAGGCCCTGTCATTACTATTAAAATCTAAATTGGTGTTTCTTATTTTTAAATACTGCATTGCAGAATTTCTAGCATCCATTGGTGTGTTTTCATCAGGACTACATTTTGTACCCCAAAATGTATTCACATATCTGTTTCTGCAGCTCATTTTTCATTATTAGTACAGCAGTGTAAGTATGCATCTAAAGAAATATAGACACAATTCTCTGTGCAGAGAAGCTAATAATTCAAGGGTTGCTCCTGCAAAATTTACACAAAGTACAGTCCTACCCTGCTGTGAAAAGGTTTTCATTGCATGAGTGGGACAGATCATGTTATACTGCTGTTTGCAGACAAAACCATCTGATGATGACAGCAGAAAAATGACAGGTGGTCTGCTATTGATGGGATACTTTCCTGTATACATATGTTTTTGAGAATTTTTTTTACAAAACTTTTTTTTAAGAAGTGAAAGATAGACTTTTAGACAAAATATTAAATTAGTTAGGTTCCATTTTTCTCCTCCCTGCATCTGTGGTTTGATTACCTTGAATTCTCATTTTTTCTCTCTTGGTTGTATTGCTGGGTTACTCTAAATTTCCCATGGGGTATTGATTTGGCCAAATGTAGTTATGTAATAGTGTAATTTTGAGAAACACATGTGAAGAAGGAAAATGTAAAATTATTCACATAGCAGATACTTGTGGAAATTCATTTTAAAAAAAAGGGTTTGATGGAATATTTTGACATCTTCTGGAGGTGGAAGTATGTCGGCATGATATGCTTTTTTCTGTGTATTCTACCTGCCTATACATACATTAACATTCTTGTGGGAGAGAGGTATGTAGGGGAGAGAAGTTTGTTTTTAAGGGCAGTGTAGGACCAGATGGGAATCTGTACATGGCTCTGAAACAGATGTCAGAATTGATGGACAAGCGAAAAATGACCATTGAGGAGATGGAAGATGACAGCAAATAATAGAACATTGCTGGGAAGCATGATCTAATTGCAAGAGATGATGGGATGAAATCAAACCAAACCCAGTGAAAATCAAGTAGGAGCACATTAAAAAGTAGAGAACTGGCATATCTTTAGCGTAATCCTCCATCCCACTCCCCACAAACATAGAGAGGGCCCTAATTTCTGGGACCCTGAGCTGCTGGGATAATAACTTGGTGAATATGCATGAAATAATCTTTCCATTTACTCTTCCTTTTGTCTGTCTCATCAGATGTTTTCAGAATGGAGGGGTAAGAAGTAAAGATGTGCAAAGGGAGATGACTAGATGATAGAATGAAAGAGAAGTGGTTCATAAGCCAGCTTCAGCCCCATGCAAAACACATCCCATTGGCTTTGGGAGGCTCTGAATCAGACCCTGCTGACTGAGAAAAGCAGGCAGAACAAGAACCCCAAAGGGAAAGGGGGTTTTGATTTGGCAAGAGTTCATAATGTAGGAGAGCTGTAACACTTCATAAAGGTTGTCTTAAAACAACAAAAAGTGTCGCTGTTTTGCATCTTTTTGTTAGTGTAGTAGCTAAGATCAACTAAAGGAAGTGAAAGAGGTTGAAATAGTTACATTTCCCGTCTGGTCAGACTGATCTTGTCTGGAGAATGTGGATTTCATAATACATTTAACTTGGCACCCTGGGATTTTTTTCCCTGCTTGAAATGTTTTTTTTAATGAGAAGTTGCATTTTAGAGACATAACCTTATGTAAACACTAGCCAGGAGAATTTGATATTTAACTTATTTTGCTGGAGAGAAGAGTATCTCCAGGTAGTATACTTTTATTAAACTCACGAAATGAAATTCATCAATATTTGAGAACTCAAGCCTGGATTATGAACTGTGAGGGGTTTTTGTCTTACATTGATGTAGTTCAGTTATGCTCAGCACAAAAAGCCCTAGTGAAACCCCTCTGAGCATCTGGATTAAATGAATCTTTGAATTGCTGATTGTTTAAGGTTGATCTGGTAGATGTCCAACAGCTGTCTTTATGTTGTTTATGGTACACAATTGCACTCCGTTTAGAAAAAAAGTCAACAAAACAAACAAACTCCCCCCATGGCCAAGCAATTAATTCACACACAGAAAGTGGTGGTTTATGCCTTATAACATTAATTTATCATACACAGGCGTGGGCCTACCCAAAAAACGGGTAGATACTACATGATAAGTTGCAAGCAAATGAAGTATAAATTAGACTGTTAGCATAATTATAACTGAGAGGGATATCCCATGCTTTTAGAGAATGCCATGTAAGAAAAGGTGACACAGTTTAGCTTAATCAAAGACAAGTTTAGTCCTTTGGTGAACCTTTCTATCTGAATGGCAAAATGCTTCCAGATGGTGAGTGCTGATAATTAATGCAGATCATGCAGTTGCATGAATCTGAATTTCATTCACAAGCATGAAATACATAAATATAAATCAGAAAAAGCCCAATTACTCATATATTGGTAATTATCAATTCCCATATATCGATGATACTGGTCATGATCATTTTCACTTTCATATCAATGCCTGTGTAAGAGTACTAGCACCACCAAAAATATTTTGATTCATTTGGACACTGTATAACTTTGGTGTGTTAAGAAAATGTTAACATGAGGTTACCTATTTTGAAATGTTTATTTGAAATTATGAGTATGCCTAAGTAACTTGCCTAACAAGTCCTACATTTAAAATATCGTGCTGAACTAATACTTTAGTGCTGCATTAAACTGATTTATAAGAACACATTATTTTTGTCCATTTTTGTTTGTATATTGTGCCATGCATTTAGCATTCATAAGGGACTAAATGGGCTGGACTAGACAACCTGAGGTCCCTTCCCACCTCAGCTATTCCATGATTCTGTGATTTATAGTGTCTGTGAAACAATGGCATTCTGGTCCACAGTAGATAATGCTACCCAAACAATACCTACTGCCACCAGTTCTTGTAACCCAAGAAGAAACAGCTGAGAGTGCCCTAATAAATGAAAGGTATCATGCATTACAAAGGGCTTTAGTTTCAAGTATGTTGTTTCTTTTCCAACTCAGTATGATGTTTTACTGCTTCCTATGAGTCTTCAGCACTTTCTTGCTATCTCTGGACAGCATAGATGCAAAGCAACAAACAGACACTGTATAGAAGTTGTTTCTAAAGCTGTGTTCATACCACTCATTTTCTGAATTTTTCTGATGTCTGACTCTGAACTCTGCTAAATCCTGTTCTCATTTCAGATTCTTCTCAGTGAGCTAGTTTCTTTTATTGTCTTTCTCTCATCAGATGTCTTTTTGGGGGAAAATACCTCTTTGTTAAGCAGGTGAAGGGGCAACAAGAATTATTAATCAAATCTTTTGTGCTGTTTCCAAACAGGGACGAAGAGGCTTAGGCTCAGTCTTTGTTTGGGCATCTGGAAATGGTGGAAGAAGTCGAGACCACTGCTCCTGTGATGGCTATACCAATAGCATCTACACTATCTCCATAAGCAGCACAGCTGAAAGTGGGAAGAAGCCGTGGTATCTGGAAGAATGTGCATCCACACTGGCTACAACATACAGCAGCGGAGAATCCTATGACAGAAAAATAGTACGCTTCTTAATTCTTTTTCTTACGTATATGAGTTTGTGTTTTGCATAGTCACTTCGGGGGAAGGGGAGAGAGCAAGCTCATTCATACTTACTAATGGACTACTTTAGAAAAAAATGGTACGTGGGCAAGTTCATTTAGCCCCAGTGTACTACTCGGTTGGAGTCACCATACTACTCTTTGAAACCAGCATGGGTATCTCTGCATGTTGCAGCCCAATGCAGTGCAGGTGCACCCAGTTCATAGCAGGTTTTTCCACTCACCTAGTTGCTGCCATGTCCGAGTGATATTTTCAAAGATCCTATTGCCACTGCCACCAAAACAGATTTCTTTCATTACCAATATCTTGTAGCCCATCAGTAGGCCTAAAGAACATATCCTCCTTTTGTTTTTAATTCAATTATCAATAGTTTTCACATTTTACACAAATAATATTTCCTACGTACCTCTCTATTTTCTCAGATTTATTTTGATCCAGCATCATTCCTCTTTTACATTCAGTGATGGTCACTTATTACTGCCTATTCCACCTAGCTGATACATTGTAAGCAAGATTAAGCTCAGTGCTCATCTTTCCTGTATTGTTCCTCATCTCCTTCCTAAACAGCCAGCATCCATTTTCCATTATGTTCTCACCTTGGCTGGAAACCAATAAATTGTTTTAATTCTGTTTGATAATCTATTGATACCATTAGTATTTGTATGCTATACCTGTTATTTTCAAATTGACTGCATTCAATGTACTTTTCAGTATTCAATATACTACTTTTAATTTTTAAACCCTTGTACTAGGATTATTCAGGCTTCTTAATAATGCCCTCTTCCCAGCTTATTTATTCTAGTGTTAAACTTACAGATCTTAATTTCTTCCTGATCAGAAAACTTAGGGATTGGGGAGCAGGGGGGAGGCAATTCCCCCAGATGTTTCCTTGAGCACCCATGTAACATTACCTTCTTTCTGGTACATAGCAGATACCTTTCTTGGTGTCAGTGAGGAGTTAAAAATTCTTTCAGCTATGTTTTTTTAATAGTGTCTGCCTTGCCTTTCAGGATTCTGGGATGCTGGCCATCCCTTCTTGGATCCTCCTTTATTTTCAGATGATCTAATTTTTGTTTTAAACTTGTTCTGAGGTAGTTCTTCGTTCCAGTAATTTTTCTGCTCTTAACTTGCTTCTCTCCACTGAAACCTTATCTCTCTTCCTGGCATGTTTCTTGTTCTCCATGATAAATAATAATAAAGAAAAGAAATTACTCCGTCTCCTAGCAGGCCTCACTTCTGTGATTAAATTCCCCCTACTGTCCTTTAAAAGACCTTCACTAACTTATTCATGTTTAAGCCAGACTAATACAACATGAGGTGAGCAGAGGCAATTGTGGTTCCCCAGCCTGACCTCTTGCTTAGCTGAGTCTGTAGGACTTCCCTGAGTCCTTCAGATCCAGCAGTTCCTGTCAACTCAACAATAATTTTCATAAATACAATCAATCTTGCTTTCAAAGTTTCCAGTGACAGAAAATCCACTTAAATTTAAGGCAAGTGGTTGTAATTACCCATTGCCGTTATAAATTTTTTTGTTTGCTATCTGAGCTCCTCTAGCTTCAGTTTCTAGGCGTTTGGTCATGTCACAGATTTTATTGCTAGTATGAAGAGCACTCTAGTTGTCTAACGTCTTTCTCCCTACCCATATAGCCTGATCAGTTAATCCCTTTTGACAAATGAAGGTAAGCTTCTTGCATCATTCTGCATAAGGTATATTTTCTTATATACCCTCTCCCATTTTATGAGCCTTGAGCACCCAAACTGGACACACCAGTCAGGTAGTAGCAGTATCAGTGCCAAATGCACGGGAAAATGTGTATCTGTGAGCACCAGCTCAGTTCCCCTCTCGAGACTGGTTAGCTTCACTGTCACGTAATGTGTTCATCACTGTGTGATGCCCAACCCACCTTCAGAGCTGCTGCTTCTCTTTTTCAGAGTTGGTGGTCCAAAGATGGATATGAGGGTAGTTATGGTGTCTTTATTGAAGCGTTTATCACTGCTTTAGTACTCGGTCCAGACCAGCCCTCACCATCACTTTCTCTTTCTCTGATGTTTCTCCAAGTGCAAAATTCATCAGAAGGTGCTGGCGTTTTCTTCCAAGTCTTTGATAAAAGCTTTAGGTCGTATCAATGCCAAGAACTGAATTGTAGAATATCTGATTAGAACCAAAACTAATTTCTTATGTGAGCTATAAGCATTTTTAACATTTCTCTGCTTCTAAATATATATCTGATTTCTTATATATGCTTACATTTTGAGACCTTGTAGTTATCCCATTTTAAATCTATGTATTATGTATCATACACATTTTTAATCTCTTAAATTCAATTTTTTTTTAATGTACAGTATTACATTATGTGTCTTACAGAATTCTGACTATACTAATTTCAACAAAAGTGATGGCCAGAAAAAAAAAACTGCAGCACTTTGGCAAGCTCTCTTTTCCAGCAGCTTATGTTATCCACCATTAACTATACTACAAGTTAATTAATTTATTCATAATTAGTTTAGATCCTTTATCAGCTGTTTTACACAGATAAAAACTTGGCAAATAGATTAAATTATTAGGGCAATACTGCTGACCCTTTCAAAATATTGACACTGTGTGGTTTTCTTTTGATCTTCTGGAACTTCTCCACTGTTCAAAGACATGCTAAAATCAACAGTACAGTCTAACATGTTACCTGTCCAGCTCTTGTAAAAGTCTTTTGTGCTTCCAAACTTTCTGATTTAAACTTGCCATTCAAAATAATATCTAAAAATAGGAAGATGATTTATCATCTTTGTATGCTCTGAAAACTTCATTTAGATCTTTTTTTCCAAAAAGGAACATTCAGTGAAATAGCCATTTACTTTACACTGCTATTAATTGTTCTATTATTTCTGAACAATTAAAAGAATACTGTTTTGGGGGTTCTTTTGCTTCTGATATATTTGAAAGTAAAACATCCTTATACTTTATTCTGTTCTTGTAGGCTTCACCATTTGACTTTTGTCTTTCCTTACCACCTCCTATGCACCTTCTGTCCTCTAATTTTTATTCACTGCTATCCACTTCGGGTTTTATTCACTTTTATTTAATTATGTATTACTTTTTGCACCTGTCAATACTTGTTTTGTTGACCAGTATATGCTTGCTCGTTTTTTAAAAATCTAGTAAAATATCTGTATGTTTCTCAGTCCTTATTTCAGTTGTCTACTTAGCGCATTCTTCTGATTTTTTAATAGCTGTAGTTTTCTCGATTATTGTCTTCCATTCTTTTCAATTAGCATGGACTTTCTGCTTTTACAGAATTACTGTTTCAATGAGAGACCATTGCTTATTTCTGATGTGTCACTGCCTCGTGAATTACGCTAGACTCAGAAAGACCTGGAGGTGATCTCACCTTTATTGTTAAAGACCTTCGTATGAACCACAAGAATAGATAATTTTTTAGTTTACCGAAGTATAGTACCCATCACTTCTAGAATTTATGTACTGTCCTAATACTTGCAGGTTTATATTTTATTGTAAGATTTTTGAAAGACATACTTTACAAATGAAACATTAATTATGTAGAGAATGAACAAACATTATCCCATTATTACAAAAATAATGAAGAGATTTTACATAAACATTATTTAAAAGATTTAAAGATACACCTCTTTAAAAATGTCAGCTTGGAGTCTCCATTGGAGATCTCACACAGGCTATCAGAGATAAGTAAAAATAACTTTTAACTTAAATCCACCAATTCTATAAGCACTGATTGCTTTTACTAATTGGATCCTCCATTCTTTTGGGAGCAACCCAGTTGCATATGCCAATTTTAGATTATTCTTACAGAGTGCATAATTTTACAGCGTGAATGGTAAAAGCACAAGAATTAACCCAAGCCTGTTGATCCTTTATTTACCAGAACTAAGTTTAACCTTGCACCCTTGTGCAAAGCAACTTTGATGTTGCATGCGCTGTAAGATTCACTGATCTCAAATGCTTGACTATCAGACCATAAATATTCCCTACAAGACTCTTTTCCTGTACGATATTATCAGTTGACTTCTGAAACACACAACCTATTTGAGGGTGTTTTACTACTGGCATTTGGCATTTGAAGGCAGGCAAGCCTGCTCCCCCTTCAGACACCTTCAGTAACAAAGCAGAACAGTGTACAGTAGATGTCGTCTACAGCTTTCTGTTTGTGTTGTGCGTAAACCAGTTATGCCCAACAGGGATAACAAGTACATGCTTCTGTTGTGCTACAGCCTGGTGAGAAATGCTGTGAAATTGTGAAGCCAGCTTTTCAAACTGAATAATAAGCATGCCTTTCAACATGAACACACATGGAGACAGGGACATTGCTCTCACCTGTGTGACTCTCTTGCTCATAGACTGATTTTGAGAGCAGTAGCAGTAGCATCGCTATTCTCTAAATCATCTGCTAAAATCCAATCCTCCTAAAGACCTATCAAATTGGAAAGAAGTCTTGTTTGAAACAAGAATTGAACTAAAGACAGAACTGAAAATTTTGAGGACAAAGTTTTTCAACTGCTATAAAATGCTAAAGGAGTCTAGAATAAAGATGATGTGTATTTGTTTTCATTGTTGCATCATACATCCTTTTCACCACATCATATCTCACATTGTTATTTAAGCTGCTGCTCCTTTTGAGTCAGAGATTGCTTTCATATCTTTCCACAAAAAGCTTAGAGCTTGCAGTAAGTTTAAAGGGAAAATAAAACAATAGAAGAAGAATAGAAATATTATTATTAAATTTAAATTCTCCAAATTCTCTTATGGATATACATTTTTATCCAGTACACAGCTATGAAGTTGACTTCATGCCATAATATGAAGACAGTAACAATGTTTGTTCAAGCCATATAGTGATTTGGTTTGTTGGAGTGAGACTGCTATATTCAAAATAGGAAGAAAAAATACTACTGCAGTAAATCAGGAAGAAGTGACCTGGCATGGGATTTACAATCAAAATCAAATTAACTCATTCTTATTTATTGTCATGTTACTCAGAACAAACTCCAATATCATGAGAGATTCTGCAGTGCTGTACTACAGAAATACCTATCTGTGGTTAAGGGACACTGAATGGTCATATTCCACAGTTCCTTCATACTTTTCATTGCAGTTCTTAATTTTAATATTTTTTTCTGTTTTTATAACCATTATGTGTAGAATGTGTTATAAGGTAGATGAACAAACAGTAGCCAAGTATTAGGCACTCATTGTGTGGACTAGAAATTCTTATAAAAATGTTTTGGTTTCAATACAGACTAATAGAAACACCCACACTTCTATAACTACACTAAGGACTTTGTTTTTTTCTCTTTTCATTACTATACATTTTTATAATTGCTTGTTACAAATATGGGATGTAACATAATTTTAGAAGGTTTTTTCAGTCTTGTACCATGATAGCTTAAGAACATAATTTCACCCATATAACTCTGTTTTCCATATGGAGCTTTTTTTACTGATTTTGAAGTAAAGTAAATGGAAGCAAATTCTGGACTGAAATAATTTGAGCTAACAACTACAGTTAAACAAACACTGATGTTACCATCTTGCATGAGTTCCTTGTGGCTCGTGGAAGGTACTCCAACTGTGCTTGACTTCATGCTGTAACAAAATTTATTGCAGTAACTGTTAGCCCATTATGGACCAAGATTCCAAACTTTGGATCTATTAACATGCCCAAAGCATACGAACATTTCACAAATGCAAATGGGGGTATACTTTTTACATTGACTCTTAGAGAAAAGAACTAGAATTACTTTTAGGTGTTTTCAAGAGCAGCTGCCAAGTGCTGGCATAGGTATAAGCATAGAAACTCACACTCTGGGATAAAGGCAAATCAACAGTAGGTACAGACCTTAAAAATAAATATACTTCTTCATAGACGTTATCTCTCATAACAAGTGAGTGCAGAAGTATTGGCTAATAATATACAGTTGTCAAGGTATTTTTTCCTATTATTCTCTTCTTTGCTGTTTTGAATACTATAGGACAATGCTGGAAGATAGCATCCCCACTCCAGTTCATGGAGCTAGGATAGGTTAAGCACCACTTAATAGAGTCATCTATATGGTCCTTTCATTTATCAAACATGTCGCACAAATGCATCACATTCCCTTTGAATTCCCTTTTCAAATTATTTCTTAGAGCACTAAGGAATTAACATATGAAAGTCCCTCACAGATACAATTTATAAACCTATTACATGACTTACCTGCTGAAAATAACCTCCCTACTTACTGCTCCACCTATCTCTTTGTCTTCTAAAAAATGCCAGTTCATCTGCTGAGTTTCTTTCTCTTCTAAGGTGTATTTCTGCCTTGCTAACTAGCTTCTGCTCTAACCAGAGCTTGAAACAAAACCACAAAAAAACCCAGCATCTCCTGCCAGTTCTTAAAACACAAACAAAAACCTGCTTGTGTTCAGAAACTTTTTCAGAGTGTCAAGACATACACAACAAGGCACCTTCAATTTTGGGTAGATACAGATACACAAAGGATATGAGAAGGAACAGCAGATTTTTGTTAAACACTTGTTACTTCTAGGGACACAGATTCATAGAAACTAACATGTCTTGAAGAACTGTAGCAGAAGGCAAAAAATGGTTCAATCAGTTCAGAAAGCTTGTGTCATGAAATATGAAAGAGCAAGAAATGCAGAGACTTGGGAGAGGAAAGAATGAGCATGTTCTCTGCTAAGGGAAATCCCATTTTTGACCTTAGTCATTAACCTCCCAGTCAGTGAAAAACTATGGAAAGATTGATGATGCAGCCTTAATAATGGCTGTACAGAAATGGCACCTCCTTAATTCTTCAGAGCAAGTTGCTTCTGTAAAACTATTACAGTGTGTCTAGAGTTTTTTCTTTAACAAATGTCTGCATTTTCTGAAACCTGTTGGACTTCTGCGCATGGCAGGTATTACAGTGCATTTTGGTCATTTCTATAATTTTTGGCTGCCTTTCATCAGGGTGTCCATCCTAGGTTGCTAATTTCATGTTGATTAAACTAGGCCAGTACCAGAAACATTGTCACTGTCTTCAGTCAAATCTAGCTGATTCGAAAGATTTAGAAGTGGATATAACTCGTGGCGCTAGAAATACTGCATGGACTTCTCTTGGGTAGTCTGATCAGCATTTTCATAGATCAGCAGTTGTCACAAAGGTATTTGCAGCATACAAACATGCTGTACCCAACAAAAGATTCAAAAATTTCTCCTTCTCCCCACCCTACTGATCTGAATGATAGCTAATGACAGCTTCATGGTGCTGTCAAATACCATGTCCTTTTATTGTGATTAATGATGTTGCCCTCATGTGGTTCAGGAATTTAGGGCACCACTTTTCTTCTTGAAACTTGCTCGCCTGTTGGTGGTCCTGTACTCTTTTTTTCTCAGGGTAGAGGCAACACTTCTCTGACAGTGAATCCACAGTGCTGAAAAGCACGCCTCAGATCTTGGAGGTAATTTACGCCTAAACATCTCAGCTCCTGTCAGTAACTTTCCTTTGAAACAGCTCAAATGGGATTTCCATTTAAGAAGCTTTCCCAACACATTTTCCACTGAAATATTTGCTGAGTGAAAGAGAGAGACAAGGGTCTGTAGTTCAGACTGCTGCCACAACATCCACTTAGAATGTGAGAGGCAACATTGCCAAATAAAGAGGTGTCGTGGTTTATTCTGCTTGGTATCTGTAGCTACGGGACAGTAAAAACACTCTGGAAGCATGTTCTTCCAGAGGCTGAGAAACACAGAGAGCACAACACAGTGTGCTTTTCACTGTATCGAGAGAGGCTGTCTCTTAAGGAAAAGCTACTCTGAGGGCACTTCTCCCTGCCTGAGCTCCTGTAGGCTTTGCTACCCTTTGGTACTCTGAGGAAAGCACCTGCTGCACCACGTTTTTGCAGGGGACAAGGTACCAGGCTACAGAAGAGAGAAGCATGTATTAGTTGCTTTTCTGGCCTCTCTTCTTCCTGGCCTCCCTTCCACTCCGTGCCACAGGACTGACCATTTTTTTTTTCCAAATGGGATACCTGAATCTTGTATGTCTCTATTTGGGTGCGTGTCTCCCTGTAGTCCTTGGCCATATCAATCCCACTTGCAAAATCACTACTTGCATTCACACATATAGGCAGTGTAATGTTAGGGCCGTTCCTGCTGCAGTTTCACCTCTTAATATTGTCAGGACATTTATGGAATTTGCATGCATAAAGGTTTTTTCCAACACTATTAATTTTCATTGTCTAAATTAATACACAGTCAGTAGGAGGGAAGGCAAGAGATAAAGATATTATATTAACATTTTATTTATGGGGTTCAACTTTTAGTTGATGAAAGATAAAAGAAATTGTTTAACAAGGTATGCATTAAATAATAGGGAAAATATGTTCTTTCTAGACCTCATTATTATTGAATCTGGCCTTTGGTAAGTTCACTAATGTAAGGATACGACATTATAAATCTTTTAATCCATATTTTTCAACTTCTAGAAGCTTCCATTTTATTTCTCTTGCTCACTACTTCCTTTCCACAATCATTTCCTGGGTGCTGTTAGCTCCTTCGCTATTAGAAATCTTTTGTGTTAGCTTGCGTACACTTACATGTCATGAAAACTTTCAGCAGCCTTATACAAATTATGTAATACATATACTACTGAATTTGGCTAATGCAAATGTGTGAAACACATGCATCCTACATGATATTACTGGTATTCTGGCCAGATGGGTTGTGGCTGTTTTTTCAGATCATATTTTGCATATCTTTCAGTTTCAGAACTAGACAGGTATTTTTTACATGCCCTGTGCTTTTTTTGTGATTTTCCGATCCTCTGATCCTCTCCCACCCTTGTGCATATCCATGTTGCAAATGAAGTACAATACTAGTGAATTAGACAAAATGGAGACACGATAATTCTGTATGCTTAGGTAAGAAGCTGTGTAAGCAACTTCTCCTCTGCCCTTCAGGCAGATATTTTATGTCTACTAGTGACTGAATCTCTGGGATCAGCTGAAATGCTGAGAATAAGGTTTGACATCACAGGTCATTCACTGCCACCTTCATGGAGGTTTCCATGCTGTGGGCTGCTGTCTGCTAGTAACTGTTCTCAAGTCCGCTCGGGTTTTGCTTGAGCTCCTGTTAGGTAGCAGTGACTAAAATTCTTTGTGAGATTGGAGCACCCTAACACTAAGTAGAAGTCTGTGCCTCTAGGTGGTATTGCACATTATACATCCACTTAGATTACATATAAAAATATGTGGCAGCATATAGTTAAGCAATACATAACAATTTAAAGCTGCAATTAACTAATTGGCCAGTAATGTCTAGCCTAAATTTGTGATTACATCAGGATTTTCCAATTAATTGTTCCTTAATTTCATAAGGCATGAAGGAAGGATTAAACACGGTACTTAGCATGAGCCCAACTGTATTCTGTTCTTTCACATACTTCCAGTCTGACTTCAGGCAGCCTAATTAACCCCTCCGTACCACTTTTATAATCTCTAAAATGGGCATAACCAGTCTGTATATAAGGAGCACTGTAAGATTTAGTTCATTCCCATTTGTAAAGTGCTTTGAGATTCTTGGATGGAAAGAGCTCTATAAATGCAAACAGAAGGGCAGAATTATAACTGTGCAGTTTTAAAACCCTCTGCATGTTTTTCTAATTTACAAGTATTTTTGTTGATCACGCCATGAAAAAAATGGAGACTTACTTATGTTTTCAGTGCAAGACAGAGAACACTTCTCCATGTTCACGTGACTTCAAGCTCAGAACATGTAACATCATGTGTTCAGACACCCTTTTTTTGCCTTTCCTTGCAATGAAAGAGGGAAATACCCTCCACGTAATTGCAACTAATTCGAGCAAATGAAACCTGTTCTTATTTCTGAAGCTGTGTTCTAAATTTCATACATTCAATTTTCAATTTCTTCCAGATCACCACAGACCTGAGGCAGCGTTGCACAGACAGCCATACTGGAACCTCAGCCTCTGCACCTATGGCTGCAGGCATCATTGCGCTGGCACTGGAAGCAAAGTAAGATCTGAGTTATACTCTGGGGGAAAAAAAAAAAAGCATACGGAAAGATCTTTCTCACTCATCCAGCACCTTTATCCAGGGGTCTTAAAGTGCTTTGGAAACTTTGTTGTAGTAATTCACAATACCATCCCAAGGGCAGGAAAGATCTGCGTGCTTATTTCACGGGTTGGAAAGCTGACACCATGGAAATGACAGCAGACTACTCAATGTTGAAATAATTTTGAATGGTATTGAGCACAGCTAGTTTCCACTATATGATGTATGGGATCCTCACAATGTCTTACAGTACCTTCACAGTGCTGCCCAGATCTGCTGTACTCTGCAGGCTACTGTAGGTTGCCTCTTGCATTCGTCAGGCTCCTCTTAGCAATATCGGTTCTTGAACATTGAACAAAGTTTTGGGATGGTGTTAGGCTACCATGAACAGAAATTAATACAGTATGAAAAATAAAAATTCTCAACTTCTGCATGCTGACACAAGTCAGCTAAGTTCCTCAGCTGTAAAAACCATGGATAGTGTAGCTCCAAAGTCCTTTTACCTTTCGCTCAGAAAAGTTTCCATCTTACAAGCATTTTCTCAACTGCAGGATTTTTTTCTTTGTGTCTGGTATCTATTTTTAATGTGCTTTGTGGAGCAGCAGCAATACTGGAGATCTATCAGGTAAATCTGTATTTCAGAACCTTTTGAATTACTTTGCTTGTGTTGGATAATATTTGTAGGTCTAAGGTGGAATGCTCTAGCCCAAATCCTGCTTGAAATCAAATGTTTTAAATGCTAGGAGATTGATTCTATTAAATTCTGAAGAAAACCAATTTTCTCTGTGGGCAGCCAGCTCATTTGAAGGAAGAAAAAAATTTGCACACAACAGTCATTTCAAATTGTACGTAATTCATAGCAGCAGGATTGTGTTTGCATCATTAATGTTGCTTTTTTTAGGAAACCATGTGCCAATATTCAACACAGAATACTTTTTTCTGTTGAGTTATAGTCATGAGAATAAGAGTAATTGAAGAGCTGACGTATTTTTAAGTAGCACAGGACTCATATCATTATAAGTTGATTCTCTTAATGTAGTCATTAGAAACAAAGGTGTTTTGAAAAGTTAATATAATGCTATTATTTTATAAAATCTTTTAAATCTCTTTTTAATCTCAGTTTTAAAGTTCATATGTTCACTCTAAACAATCTGCATATGCAGATAAAATTGCACATGTGTAGATTTCATTCTGCTGAAAGTTTTTCTAATTATTTCTTAATAAACAGAGGTTGCTTGTAATTTATCATTTGTATTTGATATGATATTTGTGTGCATTTTTTAAAAAATAATTGTTGTAATTGAAAGTTTTAAAGAATTATAGCACATAATACCTACAACCAAGCTATTACTGATTGTGACATCTTAAAACACACTGAGAAGCTTACACTTCCACACAACCTTTTTTCTCTGTGAGCTTTGGTGGTGGCTATATCAATAGGAAATCCATGTAACTGACTATGGACTAGCATTTTTTTGTCCAAATTAATAGTTGTAAATAGGAACAAAACCAAGACTGTATTAAAGCTTCACACACAGTGATGGAGACAAAATGTGCCAGTGAATAAAGATCCTAGTCACTTATTTGTAGTACTCTGTTGCATGGTGCTAACAAGAGATGCACGGTGAAAATACATTCATCTTGCCTCCTTTCAGATTCTATTCAGTTTCAGTATATGGAAGGTTCTTACTTATTTCCAAATCTTAGCCTGAGTATTTGAATAGATCCAAAGGAATTATATTAATAATATCATAAATGTGGTTTTCCTCATTTGTATTCCATTCACTGACTTTTCTCTCCTATGTCTACTTACAAACAATTTTCTGAACACAGCCAACATCAAGAAATGAAAGAAAAAAGGGAAAAACAAAGAAAGGAAACTAGCAAGAGAAATATTTTCAGGTTTCCCATGCTGTTTTTTCCCATAAATTAATCCAGTCCTAGGGTTGGAGAAACCTTTGGTCTTGTGAAGTTGTAGCTTATGAAGTAAGACCTTTAATTTTACAAGGAGATCATATCATAATAATATATTCAATTTTAATGTCTGGGACTTGTTTGCATGAAATCTATTCAGATTATTTTAAGCAGTTTCTGAATGGCAATTCTTATTTATTTATTTGATTTGAACGTACAGGTTGCATTTTTCTCCTGTGGTACCTGGCAATTTAGGTGATCCTAAATAAATGCTAGGAATTAGAGTATGCAAAAGGAAGTTTTGAACTCATCTTAAGTCTTTTCTGCAATACTTTTAAGATATAAGACACGTGATATTGTATCTTAGTGTAAGGGCTTACTGGAACTAGTTTGCATTCAAACAGAGTTTGCATTTACATAGTTTCTTCGTTAGATTCCATATTAGTGCCTGTGCTAATAGCACTAGAGTTTATATGAGATTTTTTAAAAAGACTAGTTGGAAAGGGGTTTTGCAAGGCTAATTATGCTTTTCATACAGCAAGCTGCTTAAAAATTGGAGCACTTAGTCTTGAACAGTTCTTGAATATGTCTGCAATAATGTATACTTTCATTCCACTTTATACTGGAAAACACAACAAATTATACCGTGGAGAGGTTTTGAGCCTACAAGGTCAGTTTTCCTCAGTAGCCAAGTTCTGTTCCTGGGAGACATCACGAGGTGAACAGAGAACTAGTCTGGCCTGGGTATGAGGTAGAACAGCCAAGAGGTTGCTTCAACTCACACGCAAAGGTACATTAAATCAAGGGAAAATGAGCAAGGAAGATTTCCACTCCAACCTGCCACTTTCTTTCTTTGGTAAGTCCCATATGGTAGGATTGACAAAGAGCTGATGGAGGACCTCTTACCTGCCAACTGATTTGAACCCTCCACTTGGTTGTTTTTTCCAGCTAGGATCTGCTCCTGAAATCCTGGCAACAAATTATTTTGAGACAGTGGACTGCTTACTACCCCAATTTCAAATTATCTGAATGCATCTTTTTTATGAATTGCATTTTTGGTCCAGTATTTGAGTATCAAGTGGATATTTTCCCGGAGGAACCAAAGAAATGTAACTGAGTTTCAGACTGTTTGTTTGGAATCCCCGAGGGCATAATGGAGAAATGTAGATACGCAACAACTGTCACATAAAGAAAGTAATCTCTTATATGGTTTTCTTATGGTATGCAGGTGGTTAATGGTCTTATCTGATGGTTCCCAGTATATCTAGTATGCTGTTCAGGCTCTGTAAATAAAGGCTTGCTAATCTATTGCACTTCTTAGTCATTACATAATGTTGATTTTTGCTAATTGTCAACCAGCAATTATGGGTATGAAGTATAATTGATTTAGTCAGCAGAGACAGCAACCTTCTTACTAAAAATAAACTATTTGCATTACATATTACCATCTACTGTTTATATAGAAATACCCCTTCTCATTGACAGAAGGTTTGCATTTGGGATTTGGATGAATTGGAGTCAGGAGAGACAGTATGCCTGTATTTGTTAGAGTGGGCATTGTGCCATGTTCCTCTGAAGAAGCTGAATTTTAAAAGAATCTTAGGTCGGTGATGGAAGAATACATTATACATCCTCAAGTGAACTGCATGCTCCACGATCTATAATCCAAAGCATGTTTTATAACCCATGGTGTATAAACTGCAGTTACGTGAGTAAGAAGTAGCATCTGAAACAGTGCTTTATATTTCTACTGTGTGGCATACCCCGTGATACAGCTTTGGAGAGAGTCTGGTTTTTCTCCGTGATTCTCTTCACATGAGCTGTATACTTCATTTGTCTATGGCTACATGAAACTAAGACTAGAACAAGGTAGTGCTGGGAAGAGATAAAGAATTTCAGTGAACTCTTATACCAACGATCCATTCAGAAAAGTGACAATGCACCGCATTCTTCTAAAAGGCAGTGTAATTACTGAGATGAAAGGAAAATGAAGTTCGCATTGCAAGGGGTCAAGAGTATCAGAGGAAGATACTTTGGATTTCTGAAAACTGATCAGATACTTGCAATATTTTCCATATTGATTGATTTTCTTACAGAAAGGAGAAAAGCAGTATACTGTCTGGCAAGGGGCAGTTTTGGATACAGAGAACATATTTCTGTGTCATCAAAGTTATGAGGAGTTTGCTTGTTCATAAATACAGTCAGAAGCTAAAGGTGATGAGACAGCTGAGGTGAACTGTGGAAGTGCTGTCAAGTGACCTCTATAGGTAGGCTTCCAGTGTAAAAGAAGGAGAGGTTATCATTTAAGTCCATCAGCTTTAGCTAGGTCTTTGCTCCATTGATTGATTGCCTATTATAAAAGGGAACACTATACAGCATGTGAGTTAGAAATCTTTTTTTTAAAGCTTTGCATTTTTGGAGTACTTTTAAAATAATGCTCTTAACAGTGAAGTATTTGAAAAATGTAAACAAAAACAAATGCTTAAATTAGAGACTGTGTTTCTCTTGAGCTTTAACCACCTCCATCACTTAAGCAATTTCAGTTATTATATTGAGATTGATTTGGAAGTACTTGCCTGTATTCATGTTGCCCAGTGTTTCCCATTTTAAGGTCCTGTTTTCAGTTACATGTGACTTTGCCAAAGAATAATCATGCAGTCTGAAATTTTCCATGTAACTTGCTTTAAAAAGGTTTTAAGAAAATTCCATCCAGACATTTCTTAAACTGAGTCTAGGTTAAAAAAAAAAAAGTTTGACTGTGATAATTTTTAACTTCTTCATTGAGTTTTACTGTGTCTGCACTTTGGAGCAGCAGCTAGAAACAGAACTAGTAGATAGCCATTGTTCTGGTGCCAGGGCAATGCCTTTCACTTTCACAAGCTTTTCAAAAATCTCAGTTGGCATACGCTCAGTTGAGAGTTTTAAGAGTTTGGCAGCTCTATCTCCTGTAGTTTCTTGGTTCTCCAAGTGTTCCCCAGTCTCAGCTTTTAGAGGCTGTTTAGGGTTGTCTCTGAAGTTGCTGTTAGGGGTGCTGCTGGCTGTTCACC